CCCCCTCCCACTGCGTATGTGTGTGTGTGTGTGTTGAGAATTAAATAATGGGTTTGACTGACACAACTACCATTTGGAACGACGGACAAAACGAAGGTGACATATTAGTTTGGATTCTCCATTTTTGACAGAAGGATATTTAATCATGCTTAAAGAGGCCCTTTCTTTCACACTCTTCTGCAAAAAAAAAAAAATAATAATAATAGAGAACAAACAGTTAATGGCATTCGGAATATCATAACTTTGGATTATTCACAATATGGAATTGGGAATTTCAGCCTTAACGCCACCTTGTGTTCACGTGATTAAGCGAAGAGATCAATGACCAGATTTCAAGTATAATTTTGATCTACTGATTACAGGTCAAGCAGCCAACCAGAAGCACCAGCCGCCACAAGGGATTTGTTGAGATCTTTAAATTGTCACTTCCAGTTGTGGGTGCCTTCAATGCATGATATCTGTACATTTCATCTGTACTTATAAATGTATCTCCATCAGAGGTAACAGAAGTTGAAGATTAAAAGGGCAATAATGGTATTTTATAATCTAACTGAAAATATAAACTCTGAAATTTTGTAACTCTTGTATTATGCATAAAAGTATTAATCAAATTTACCGGTGTAGTAAATGTAGCACTGAAAAAATAAGTTTATAATTTTTTGAATTTATCAAATCTCTAATGGCTCGGTTAAATTATCAAAATAGTAAGTACTGAGTTAACGTTCCTAGTGCCTCATTGGTAAGTTTGAAGGTTTATATCGCTAAAAACTGGGTTTTGATACCCACGGTGGGCACAGCACAGATAGTACATTGAGTAGCTTTGTGTTTAATAACAAACAAACAAATCCATTTCTCATATTGTTACACTTTATGATAATTACATCCGTTATTAGTGTAAAAAAATGAAAATTGTTACTAAAGGAGGACACAAATCTCCTAGACATACGGATATCATTTTAAAGCAATGCTATTTCATATTAACATAACATACTTTGCTATCCAACTTAAAACAAGGCCTTTGACATTAATGCTGCGCAAATAATTTATTTTCAAGGATGGAACTACTTTTGATATCTTATGTTGTGAGTAAAATATGATACAATAAAATACATTTTTGTGATGTCGCTTCGGTATTATATTAGAAATTGTAACAACCAATGAAAAAAGTTATGTATTTACTTTCCCGGAACTTCTAACTTTTTTAGCTAATTGACTCATTAAATTGTGACGTTGTCGTCAACATGGTGTGAGAAGAACAAAGTTTAATTTAGTTTAAACTAAAGTTATTGTAAAAAATTTCTCAACTGAAGATATCGACGATTTTTGTACGCGGTAGAAAACAATCCCTGTCTCATTCAACTTTCAAGATGTTTGTAATTGTGTGTTGTTAATATTGCCTGAAACTGGTTTTACCCATTCTTTTAAATTAGGCTAGACCAAAGTCTGATATTATTAGTATTACTATTAGTATTAGTACGTAGTAATAGTATTAATTATCCAGGCAGTAATTTTTGAACGTTGATACCTTAAGGCTTAATACTGTCACTGTGTCAATTTATCAGTGACAGTTTTCCGGTCAGCTGTATTTAATTCGAACTGGTAGTGATAAAATTTGGAAACTTTATACATTTATTAACTAAACGGTATGAGTAGTGAAAGGTTTAACGAAAGCAGCAAATCTGTAAAAAATCAGAAAGAGAGAAGACGGTATATTTATGACCTTCCCTGGCCAACTCGAAAGGAATTGTGCATGGTACTTGATGCTGATGAAAAATGGGAAGAGTTAGGTAAAATTAAGTATTTTAATTTCTCTAATTGAATATAAAAGTCATAAATGTAGATGGCTAGTAAAATGTGGAACAGTAAAATGCTTAACATGGCTTAATTTACCTAAAAAATTCGAAACTTCACATACAAACTTTGAACTTCTCAATATTATACGAAAAATATTGGACAATCTCAATATTGAAAACAAAATGACAATCATGATAAGTGATATATATATATATAACCTTAATGTTGAAAGTGTTTAACATGGGTAATGTGCTTCAATTCCAGACATTTATGTGCAAACTTTGCACGTTGCGAGAGAGGCATTTTTTGAATGCCATAAAAAAATTGGACAATTTCAGTAACAAAAACAATTTAACAATCATTTTAAGTCATACATATAACCTATATAATGTGACCCAGAAAACTTGATGTGCCTTATCGAATTTAAGCACAGTAACCCACGTTAAAAGTTTTAGGCTTTCTTGTGAAATATGTAAGAAATGCTGAGTGTATTCTGTGCATGACATTAATAATAATATGTAGTTAGCTTTTAAGATTAGACTTAAAACTTAAAAAAAGCTGAACATAACTTCAGTAACAAATAGTGTGCGAGTCACTGTGAAGGTAATGGATGTTCTTACATGCTGCTGACAATGTTAAATGGTGTTTTAAATATATACTAGATGTACTTCCACGTGGTCCCTGAAAGTTTTCTGTTTAAAGAGTAAATAAAACAGAAATTAGAGTAACAAATATTGTTATTTCTTGTTTTTGAAGTTCATATGTCATGCATAATTCTTCTCATGATTCATGGCATGCACAAGTTTTTCTGACGTCATGACAGTACAAATTGCAACATTTAAGCATTCCTTATGTGATGTCATTGTATAGGACACTGGTTATCCTGTTGAATACAAGTCTAAAGACATAGTGTCATTGTATAGGACATTGGTTATCCTGTTGAATACAAGTCTAAAGACATTATAATGTCATTGTATAGGACACTGGTTATCCTGTTGAATACAAGTCTAAAGACATTATAATGTCATTGTATAGGACACTGGTTATCCTGTTGAATACAAGTCTAAAGACATTATAATGTCATTGTATAGGACACTGGTTATCCTGTTGAATACAAGTCTAAAGACATTATAATGTCATTGTATAGGACACTGGTTATCCTGTGTGACTTGCAAGGAAAATTATGAAAGTATTTTCACTTCATGTTCAAAAAATTGTCTTTTTATTTGTCTTATAAAAACTGAATTTCATTAATCCTTGGTTATATAAATATCTACCATCATATCATCTGTTCTGTGTTTTGAATGAAAATTTACTGCAACTCTGTGACAATACTGAATTATGACAGTGTTGAAAAATAAAAATGCTAATGTACTATAATTAAAAGCATCAGTTAATAACTGTGAACTATATATAAATGAAATTAACTTTAAAATGGTGTTCAATAACTATTATATTGTAAAATACATACTGAAGATGAATCCTCACCATAAGGTTTCAAAATAGACATAGCCCTCTGGTGGTCCATTTTGGAAAGATAAACATATAACCGGTTAATCGTTCCATTTTTTGTGCCCCATTCGTTCAACAGCTCATCCGTTGGGCTCTTACCTTTACCAATCAAGGTCAACTTTGTGATGTCATAGTTCAAGAATTTTCCACCTGAAAAAATCAAAGTCAACTTTTTGATGTCATAGTTCAAGATTTTTCCACCTGAAAAAACCCGAGCAATAAACCATGATGCAATAACAAAAACTGGTTCTAAGTGAAAATATATTTTTCTATATCTTTAGACTTGTATTCAACAGGATAACCAGTGTCCTATACAATGACATTATAATGTCTTTAGACTTGTATTCAACACACACACTGTTTTTCTAATAAATCATAATATTAAAAGTTATTGTTTATTGCATTTAGAAATAGTCGTATCTAATTTTGTAAAAGTTAATATTGCGGTTGTTTATCATTTGTCAAAACTAGTTTTCCTGATAAATTAATATGAATATTTCACTTCATTCATGGTATTTTGTTATGAAATTGTTTTGTTAAATGATAAATTAAAAATTTCTCCAACGTGTGTTTGTAATTTTTTATATGTTTTTTTATTCTTAGCATTTCTTTTGTAGAAGAAAATTTTGTTAATTAGAACATTAGTCTTGATTTTACTTGGGTATTAAAAGGGTTTTATTTTTGTGGCTTATATTAGGCTGGTTTGTTTGTACCACCATGTTTTTCATTACTACAGTTTTGAATTTGACAGCCATGAATATTTTCTTTTAATTACTTACTGTTTATAGTATCTAATTAGATCAAGTTATTACTGTCAAAATTAGTTTTAGTTCTTATGAATTATTCTTATGTTTAAAAGACTGTTTGTATGTAATGATATTTAGTATTATTTGAATACAATTTTCACGTTGAATTAACTTTATTTTAAATGTGATACAATGTATTCCCTCAAATCATGAAACTTCATAATCGAATGTGCCAGTTGATGTCAAGGCACTGTTCATTTTGGTGAATGCCCTCCCTTGTTGACTTGTTAGAAAATAAGTTTAATATTATTAGAGCATGCACTGTCTTGGGGTGGGGGGATCTAGCATAATGACACAACCATGTGGACATGTGTCTTGGAGACAGAAATATCAGACTAGTGTTATTCACTGTTCTAATTTCGATTCACACAGTTATGTAGTATTAAGAAACTGTCACTGCTAACACAATGGTTACCACCATCTAAACATTCTGATACTAATTCAACTAGGAATATTTTTATTGCTGCTAAATCTATTGAAAGTAATGTTACTATCTTAAATTTATGATGAATACAGATGTTACAAGTAAAAATCTTATTATTAATGAGTTTCTTTAAATTAACATCCAAGTGCTTATAATCCTAAGAAACTAATACAAACACATTACTGTACTATTTTAACCAGTTTAACAAGGTATTTGGAATACGGGCCCGGCATGGCCAGGTGGTTAGGGCACTCGACTCGCAATCTGAGGGTCGCAGGTTCAAAGCCCCGTCACACCAAACATACTCGCCCTTTCAGCCGTGGGGGCATTATAATGTGACGGTCAATCCCACTATTCGTTGGTAAAATCAGTAGTGGTGGGTGGTGATGACTAGCTGCCTTCCCTCTAGTCTTACACTGCTAAATTAGAGACGGCTAGCGCAGATAGCCCTGGTGTAGCTTTGCGCGAAATTCAAAAACAAACAATTTGGAATACGTAACATTGAAACTAATGGCTTTTGTAGAGTGTTACATGGTCATGGTGTGAGTTGTGTAACAATGGCCACTTTAGCCATTGTATGAAATGTGAGCCCTTTACTAAGATGCTCCCTTAGCTATAGTGATAAATCTGTCATTCCAGTTGATCCAAAATACCACCATCTAGCAAGAGACAGACTTACCACTACGATGGTTATCGCAACTGGTGCTGAAAGTGAGAAGAATACATCTAAATCATCACTCAGTACAAAAATGATGACGTCAGATTCACAGGTTTGTCGAAAGACTTAGGTGTGTTAAGACAATTTGATTGTAAGAAAATATGATCTAAGATGGAAAGAGAATCAAAGAAAAAAAAAAGACTTTGGAAAAGAAATCAGTTTTTTAAGTAAGAAACGAGTAATTCTTTTTATTAAGAAATAAAGTAAATTAAAACTTCCATCATAGGAATTTTAAAATTAGAAAAAGATCATTATGTATAAAATAAACGTTTATAAAAATAAGTAACTTTGTAGTTCTCATAATTTAGAAGAAAAATTTCATATATTTTGTTCTGTGGTCAGACTTTTTTGTTCTGACTTATTGTGGTCTAGAATTATTTTTTAAACTAGTTATGTTTCTTAATTTTCTGTGTGTACACAAAACTGTGAATATCACCAGACATGGCATAATTAAATCCAATCTACAGGTTCAAATCCCCTCACTGAACATGCTTGCTCTTTCAGTCGTGGGGGCATTATAATGTGATGGTCAATCCCTATTTTTGTAAGCAAAGAGTAGCCCAAATGTTAGTGGTGAATCTAACCTGATTGAAGGGATCTCTTATTTTTTTATCGATTCTGTTATTTCATCAGGTGATTCGTGGCTTTTTAAATTAGTGTTGAATTTTTTATTTATTTAATTTATATTTCTCCACTGAACAACTCAAAATCTACTAT